AATCTCTATAAATCCGTTCATAATGGGGAGGTATTCATTATGGAGAAGTTTATCTAAGGGAGGTTATTTTAACATTATAAGTATAGGAAATCCAACATAGATTTCAAAACCGTTTATTATGAGGAGGTGTTCACCCAAGAGAAGTTGCACTGTACTGTACCCCTGATCGTTGTGCACCGGTAGAAGGTTGATGCTCAATAAAAACCCTCCCAATTAAAATTGACCTAGTAAATCAATATGTCAAAATGTTAAAAATCACTAAAAACGGAAATATCTTTACCGATCCCAACGGCAGTGATATAGTGGTGACCAAATAAATTAGGAAACTTGTATTCCTGTCAGAGAACATGCGAATGGCCGCAAACACCGGAATTCTGGACAAATCTCTGACCGCAGGCATAGAAATGAATGCATTGAAAACTGGCTACAAATGAGTCATGCCATTTATCACAATTGTATTGTTATAAGTCCTATGCCTGCGGTCAGAGATTTGTCCACAACTCCGGTGTCTGTGGCCATTCGCATGTTATATAACAGGAATGTATACATTAATACTGTATTAATGTATTACTGTATTAATGTATTACTGTATTAATGTATTACTGTATTAATAATACATAACTTGTCCAAAAATATTTTCTAAAAAGTAACTAGATCAAGAATAATAAAGGAAACCCATTGGTATTTAATGCTGCTTTCGTCTGTACACCTGTAATTTATTAATGTATTACTGTATTAATAATACATAACTTGTCCAAAAATATTTTCTAAAAAGTAACTAGATCAAGAATAATAAAGGAAACCCATTGGTATTTAATGCTGCTTTCGTCTGTACACCTGTAATTTGATAAAATTTGCTACAATGAATGATACAACCAATTAAATTATAATCGACAAATATTAGCTATAATTACTTTATTATGCATATTATATAAATATTTTGCATTTTAAATAGCAATCCAAGTGTTATATCGTTTACCAAAGCATTACAATACCTTTTCCTATAAAGTTGTCAATTAATTGAACACAACTAATGAACAAATTAAATAATTTGATTCAAAGTAAATAATGTTTTTAAAATGTATTCTATTTAACTTAATTATGCATTATATATAGTAAATCAGCCCATTATATAGCATGTCCACAAATATGACCACGTTTTGAGTCTTACACTTATTAAGAAGTGGTGAAAGCAATGCATTGTATGTTTCGCTTTCATATACCAATCAATGGGTGAATCAAAGTAAACGAAATCAACTTTTCGACTAAAATTTATTACAATTTGAAACAAATTTTGACATTTTTGATGTAATCCTAAGTATTTCTATTCAATAATAATAATTATAATAAAATCATAATATAATCAAAATTGCAAATCAATTAACGAGTCGTCAAAATTAGTCGACAATTCAATAAAAGTAAAACTAAATTATTATTATTAGACATAATTAATATGTAATGAATTCATTAGAAGGCGAAGAGTAGGAGGAAAGCCATCATAAGACAGAAGAGACCCATCGCTTCCGAGAGAGCGAACCCCAGAATAGCGTATGAGAAGAGTTGCTGTTTTAGGGACGGGTTTCGGGCGTAACCGATGATCAATGAGCCGAACACCGAACCAATGCCGGCCCCACTGCCCGCCACTCCAACAGTGGCCGCTCCGGCGCCGATGAATTTGGCCGCACTGTCGATATCGCGCTGAACGGCAGTCGAGTGCAGTTTACGCAACAATTGCATCGCAACCATAGGTCTCTCGTTGGCGCTCACTGTCTGCCCGTTCACAGGACTAGACGTGGTGTTGATGGCACTCAATACGGGCCGAATCGACTGCCCTCTCAACAGCTGTTAAGCAAAACAATCAAATAAGACACACATGTTATCAAACGATAGCATCTATGGGTGAGTTGTATGCAAATCGCATCAATACATACCAGCGCTCGGCTTAAACCCATTTGACAACCGGAAGTGAACAACAAGTTTGCCATTATTTACCGGAGATGTGGTCTTCAGTGATCGACACAAAGCTAGAGGTCATACAAATGCAAACATCGGTTAAATGAACGGCAAAATCAATGCACAGTTAAAAA